GATAAGAGTGGTGCAATAACTGAAGGTTTTGGCTTTGCAGAAAGTATTTTAAGGGTGGCTGGATGACTCCCTGACACAGTAGTGAATTCCTGCACTGAATGAAGAGCATTCTATATTATTTTTATGATACCTTCCAAGCCTTACATTCTATGACTTTTTGACATCAGAGAATTACCTTTTTTTAAAAAAAATGAATGTCATGATGTCATATGGCCTAATTGGGCAGGTAGGGATGGGTCCCTTCTGCTGGTGTGTGCTTCTTATACCTGTATAAGTCTACTTCTTAGGACAATCATGCCTTTCAGGCAGCATGCTTCATGACATCACAAGTATATAGTCTTATCATTTTTGCAAAATTAGGTTCCCTCTTGCTAATAGCGATAGCACTTAAACTCATATATATTACTTCATAGTACTTTACAGTCCTCTCTTAACTGTTTACAAAGTCAGCATATTTTCCCCAACAATCTGAGTCCTAATAAATGATTGCTTAACCCCAGGTGCAATCTCTTCAATTGATTGTGTATTTAGAGACTTATCCATGTGGACGTTGAAGAAATCTTTCCTTTTTGTGGCATTACTGCAGGAAATTTTCAGAGCTCTTAATTCCTTCACCACACAGTAGAGAATTTAAAACAAGAGGCATGTTCTGTAGGAAAATACATTCTTTATTTATCTTCTAAAACAACAAGCCAGAAATATAATATACGTTCAGCTGTTTTTTTCCTTTAAAAATTTATTTTCTTTAAACTTTTAATAGAAAGGAAAAGGATTGTATGTGCCATCTGTCTAACCATTCTGCCCCTTTCTCCAGGAAGTGTGCCATCCTGAATTATTCTGACTCGCACAAAAGGATTTTTATTTCCCTTGAATTCTCTACTGACATTTCATCCCCAGAAAGCACAATGCATGTTTATGCCACAATTACTAATATAGTTTGATTGTCCTTCAATATGGCTTCTTGACAACTACCAAGAACCATTTTTTGTTAACGTTGAAAGGGTTCTGGCTGTACCTAATAGCCCAGATCATATCTAGGAAGTCTTCACAGGTGATGAAGAAATTTCTGTTTAAATTGGATGCATGCAAGTTCCCCTCCCCCCATGTGTGATATATGCACACATATTATTAATTTCCCTTCCCCCCCACATTTTTAATCATCTTCCAATTTTGATTGGGATTCTTTTAGTTTCATCTCCTTTGTTAAACAATTCTACTCGTAACCAACAAAGAAGCTTCAAGTGACACTACTAGAATGACTAGCTGAATAATTAAGTCCCATTAAAATTATTAGGGCTATTTGTCATATTAGAACCTGTAGCAGTAATGCTGCATACTTTATATCATTTGGGGAAAATACTCTATGGGTTTGCATATTACAAATTCTAACTATGGTATTATATCACGGGATGGAACAATTTCCCTAATGTACATTGCACTGCCATGTATATCTTGTATTATTTTGATCTTATGCATAGGTACTCTGGTTACATGCATACAAAGAAGGGTATATAGGCTCGGCTCTACTTATCCTTCGAGTTCTACTCCAACAGCGGATCTGAAACTGTTTGCATGTCAATTTGGTGCAACCTTTTTTCCGAGTTCTTTGCACTGCATCTAGTCACATTTCATATTAATAGCAGCAGTACAAGAAAAAAAAGATGTTATAAATTCCTATATTCACAATATAGGCTGTGGATACATAGAATACAGACTGTACAATAGGAAGTTGATGAGATGAAAGACTCTGTGTATCATGTGGAAGTTCAGAGAAGTTCCTAGACATCAGAACAAGAATGCTAAATGTTTTAGTCTACGGTCCTTCCAAGCACAGCTGAAGGCACAGTTTCCCAATAATATAATGAGGACTCTTCTCAGATAGGATTATTGCATTCTCCATTCCCTAAATTTTTTGTACCTCATTGTACTTCCAAACAACTCCAGTGTCTTTGGGACTAACTTAATATCCACCCATCATTTTTTTCATCTCTCTTTCACTTATTTCACCTTTTCAAATACAAGCTTCTAAATAGAAATAGAAATCCACAAATCTGGAAATGTCAGGGCCAACCCTTCTCCATATTAGTAAGAAATCAGAACATAGACTAAGATTTGTAATTGACGTCCCAACACGACAAAAAGAATGCAATAAATGATAATGTCATAGATAAGAATAGGGGTCAGAAAGAAAATTGATTTTCCCCCCCATTCTTACTCTTGTAATTTTTATTGCCCAGCTTTTCTTATTTCCTAAACACAAATGCAAATACGGTTTGTTGGTGCAATCATGTCATCATTATTTCTTACAAATAAAATAGAGGTTTTTTTTAAAAAGATACAACTCTGGTATGTTCTATTTCAAGTATATTGTGCTGTCTAGTCAATTGCAGAGGTTAGGTTTCCTTTGGGGAAACTAGAGTATAGAGACAGTAAGGTTGAAGTTGTGTAGCTAGCACGTTCATTGCTAGTTCTGAAATCCTGGGCATAAATAAATGCAGTGGAAGCAATAGAGCTAAAATCATTGCTTAGTGTCTTCGGTTGTTTAGTTTTGTTCATCAGACTGAAATAAAACAGAAGTGGAGCTTGTTCCTTGGAAGAACTATAGTACTTATATAGTTCGTTGCGTGGGAAAAAGTTTTTTTTTTTCATTCTTAACATTTGCTTTTGGCCCTGATGTTGGCTTTTTGCACATTATGTCAGATGCCACAGCCAAATCCTCCAGGAAACGTTCCATGTGATTATATATATATTTTCCCTACCACCCGTGTCATCCCTATATGAAAACGATTCCCTCTTTGAATCCAGTGATTCTCTGCTAATAGAACAAAAACGGCTTCTCTGCTCCCACATTGGACTCTTTAAGTTTATCCCAATGTGGCTGCTGCTGACAGATGTGAGAAATTCTTCCATTCACAAACAGAAGCTGCTGCTAAAGGCATCGCATAACAAAACAAGGGAGAAGGAAGGTGTCCTGTTCCTTGCCCAGCTTCTCAGTTGCAGGAGATAAACGTCAGAATCTGGGCCACCTGTTAAGCTACTCCATGGCTGCCAGGATCACAATATCCACAAAAACTGTGGCTGCACCGACCTCTTGTGTCATCTTCTTATCCCAGGAATACCCGCTGTGACGGCCTAGAGCAGGTTACCATGGCAATGTGTGCTTTCCTCTGGAGACTGCACTTTATCCCACTTTCAGTAATATAAAATGAGTCCTTAGGCTGGTTTTTCTCTCCCTGCTGCCAACCGGTTTTAAAAAAAATAAAGGCTAATGTGATGCAATGTTTGCTTGAGAAAAAAATACCTAAGATGAGAATTCATATGTTCACATGTGTGTGTGTGCACGGGAGTGTGTGCATGTGTGCTTCAAGGTGTTGTCTGGGTGACTGAATATAATTTATGCAAAAACCTGCTCAGAACTATCCATATATTTCTGCCAGAAGTCCTATGAGGATTCTTAGTACTGTGTAGACATGGATGCAAGTGATACCCACAGTTGGACAATGTTAGCATGAAGGAGCCACCCATTTTCAGAATTGCATCCTTTCTAACACATTTCAAGCTTGGTTTTCGATCAACCAGATGAGGCTCAGGGCTTTTCCTAACAATTGGTCTTTTAATAGGAGTGACGTGATCCATTCTTCTGCAGATGCTTTACATTGCTCTTCATTTTAGCTACCAGAAAATTAAAAAGCTGAATGGGGAGTTAGGAGGCATGTTTTTTTTTTAACTCTCCACAATTACATACTGATGATATGCAAAGAAAGATGTGGATAGAAGTGTGGATAATCGTATAGGTGACAAGCATATGTTAATATACACATTTGCTTCTTTGTTACGGTTGATGATGGTACATCTAAACATTCTTTATTTCTAGTGTTAAAAGAGGAAGATTAGATTTCCATTGACTAGGGTGGATTCAATTACTGTACAGGCCTATGAGCCTGCAGTGTTTGTGAACTAGATTTCTTTAGCATAGCTAAAATGAATAAATAGTTGTACAATAACATGAGTGATACCACACGGGGGGAGTTTAGACACATTAACAAATGTTTTTGAGTGCCAAAGACTCTGTGAGGCAATGGGTATTTGCAAAAAACAAACAAATATTTTTAAAAAACCAGGAAATCAAACAAAGATGCTTGTTTGGCTGACCTTCCCAAGATGTGACCATTAATGGGAAGTCTGGTGCAAAGAGAAGACATCTTTTATTCACCTGGAGTTCCATGAGAACAAAGGAAAGTGAGCATGAACCTAGAGCCAGGTGTCCTGAACTCATAAACACATTTTATTAATTGGACCAATGGGATAATTGCACAGTCCATCTGCTCACCTGGGAGGAAGTATTCTTAAGTCTTGGCTGTATCCTATTCTGCTTTTCCAAATTTCCAAGAAGATTCAGGCCACAGAGGAGATCTGTTTTTGTTCCTCGTGCTCTCCCTCCGTGTCACCCATTAATGGCTGCCTCTTCTTCAGCTCTCGATGGTACTTAGCCATGAGAGATGCATAGATACATCCATAGGCTGCCGCCACCACCATCATGATACACACAATGCCACAAACTACCCCAGCAATGATGACTGTGCCAATGGCTCGACGCACACTGATGGGCCGTGGCTTTTGCTTCTGGGGACAACCCACACTGGGCTCCTCTTCTGTTTCAGGACTTGTTTTGGGTTTGGGAGCAGTTTGGCTTCCCTTAGTGCAAGGAGGACCAATATTGTCCAGCACAGTAGAGCTGTTCTCATCCTCCAGCTGGGAACAGTAGTTAAACATCTCCATGGGTACCAAGCGCATATCCTTCCCCCGCAGCTCCTTAGGCAAAGTACATGCCAGCTGGTCTATCTTTCCTCCTATCCCATAAGAGAGAAAGAAAAAAAGCTTAGTTCCCTACCTTCATGTGAGACAATACTGGGTTCAGTGTAATAATGCGTTTCAGTGGAACTGTTGTGGCTAAATATTTCAATATTGGAGTGGCCTGCAGTTGCTTATCTAAATAGTAAATGAATTAGCATATCAAGAAAGTCAGGATAGTGAAACAATTATTAAAGCAAAAAGCTTTTTGAAAACCTCGCATTTAAGCTGGGTTTTCCCTCAAGTTTAAGTGCGTAACAATTAACTAAAATAACCAAAACTTCTAAAAACAATTAAAACAAGTAAATAAAAAGCAATAAACATAATGTAGTAGCAGCTGCAGCCACCGCAAACATTCTAGAACAACACAAAAAATGCTATGAAAGAAAGTGCCCAATTACTTAGACACGTTATGAGTTTCACTGGTTAAGTTCAAGCAGGTGCTGGATAAACATTGATTAAGAGTGTTAAATCCTGATTGTACTATGACCAGGCGGATGAACTAGATGGGTGAAGTGGTTCTCCAACTTTTGATTTGAAAAATCAAGATGTGAGCTGTCACTAAGCTAATTGGGCTTTATTAGGAGGACTATCAATGACAACATTATCACAATTAAAATGACAGGGTCTCTGCCCACTCAAGAACTCCAGAACTAAAGTGAAATGTTTGTGTAGTTAGAAATGGATTTTGAGCACTTCTAAAAGTTACAGTCAGTCTACACAGTATATAAATTGGCAACCAAAGGACAATAATCAGTAGAAACATCTAACTTTCTACAGTACAATGTGAGGAGATCGCTACATAAATTTGTATCGGTGATGATTCTGGTAAAACAGGCTTCCAAAGTGACTCAGAAAATTTGAATACTAATTATTAATATCAGTTTTTAAAAGGGAAGCCACTAAACATGTCTACAAAAAGAATACTTGGCAGTACCATTAGCAAAAACTTAATATTTCCCGCCAAAAATATTAATAACGTTCTCAACTAATTTAGTCAAATCATCAGTTAAAACATTAGTGACCATCTAGTTATACACTGTTGATCAGGGGTGAAATGCTCTTAAGTCTGCTACCGGTTTGCTTCGCACGCATGCACGCCAAACACGGGATTCATGCGCATGTGCCCCACCGGCACTACCACGTAATTTTGCACGGCACAGCTGATTGTCGCACAGCTGATCATCGGAACTACCAGTTCAACCGAACTGGTAGCATTTTTTTTACTACTAGTTCAGGCGAACTGGTCCGAACTGGTATTTTTCACCCCTGCTGTTGATCCATTTTAAAGATGGAGAATCTAAATGCTTACAGGTGACCAGTGTCAGGTCCTATTGAAGCAGTGACTCTCTATTAAATAATCCAAGATTAAGTTTCGCTTCAGGCCTCTTGCATACAAGTGATAAAACTAGATTGTTGTCTCAGAAGTTCAAATGTTGAGCTTTATCCCAGCTTTGATTTTGGTTCAGTTCTTCTGCATTTGCAACAGTATGGTTAGAAACTGCAGAATGGTTGAAATGAATACCCCCCCCCCCCATCTTGACCCATTGAAAATAAACTGATTCCCAGAAAGCTGAATGGCTTTGGCTAAGCTTTGGCTATACCTGCCTAATCCAACTACAAAACACTACAATGTCATTAACAAAGTCAGATTATGCACTGTGACTATCCTAATCCAAGATCTGAAATTTGAATCAACCGTGTCTAACTATTTTTTTCTTTCTGGTAATCCATAGTAAAGTAGCAAAGAATAATCCTCAGTTTAGACCAATCTTTAATGGTACCTACCTCGATAAGAGAACCATTCCATCCAATATTTAAAATCTCTCAGATTACAGTCACATTCCCAGGGATTATCTCCCACGTGTAATTGTTGCAGGCTGATTAATGGCTCAAAAGTTACCCTGTCCAAATTCTGCAGGCGGTTTGATCTGAGGGAAAGCCAGCGAAGAGAAGGCAGGTCATCAAAAATGCCTGAGGGGATTTGAGCAAGTCCATTAATGGAGAGATCCAACTGATGCAAAAGAACAGTGTTTTGCAGCAGGTCTTTGTCCAAACTTCTGATGCTGTTATTCCTCAGCTGTAGTTCAGTAAGATTAACTAGGTCCCTGAAAACATTCTCAGGAAGTTGATCTAAGAAATTGTTGGAAAGATCCAGTCTCTGGAGAGCAGAAAGATTGGAAAAAGCTTGTTCTGACAAGGTGCTGAGTTGATTGTTAAGGAAGAGGAAGGTCCTGGTACTAGTTGGAATGTCCAAGGGGATAGATGAAAGGCCTAAACCACTACAGTCCACTTCCAGGGTACCACTGTTGCACTTGCAAGAGGAGGGACAGGTGATGAAGGTCTCTGCTGCACAAAATGAAAGCCAACAGGCAAACACTGCACAAGAGAAAAGAGGAAAACCAAGCACAATATATTGAAGCATCTTCCATGACTGTATGTAACCACAGTTTCACCTGTTAATGCTACCTTATCTGGCAACCAGATGTGCAAGGGTCTCCCATCACAGTAGAATTCCATCTACTAACTTGGAGAATGGTTTTTAATACTTTTGGCTCTACGAGTTCTAGAACCAGCTGCATTGTGTTCTGGGATGTTTCTTGTGGGCCTTAATGCCTCTCTTTCCTTCCCTCTTTCTCTTTAAACGGAGCATTATGAGCTGAATGGTAGCCAAATGAGCTTTTTCACAGATTAATCCTTGTGCAGCCAGATGGATTCCCACAGTGTGAGCTTCCTTTTAGCTTTTGATGAGCTACTGGGGCTAAAGAATAAACATCCTCACACTGTGAAAAAGAAAGGTCATAGAGCCCCAGAGATTTTTCTGCCTGATACCACAGTGTCCAGCATCCTAGACGCAATGGAATTAAGCATGTGGAAGATAATCCAGAGCTATCAAAGAGAACTTGCTAGACAGAGTTTATAAAGAATATACAATATTTGCTTATATTTAATTAGATATTCTTAAAATACACTTTAGAGCTTAAATTATCTATTCAATGTTGCTATTTTTTTCAATGAGCTTTATTATACATTTGATTGACTACAAGAATTGTTTTATTTATTATCTTTTGTTTATCTCTTCTAAATTCAACCTCTGTCCAAACAGCCCTCAGTACTTAATCAATTACAAAAGTATATCATGAATAACTAGCATAAGCAAAGGTTAACACATTACATAAGCACACAAGATATTAAGCATGGCATCATTTGCTGCAGGTAAAATACAGCATACCTGTATTCTAAAAGTGTATCCAACCAACAAATAAAGATCCCACATCAGCTTCCCATAACTGAATGGCAAAACTCAAGAAAAAAAAACCATTCTATTTACAAGAAAAGCTAATAAATGCACTTGAAACTAGTACTTTTTTTTTTGTAAAGATATCAATTTTGATTTAGATTAAATCTAGAATCAGTGAATATGGGACTGAATATTGATATATAATTCATTGCTATGATTCTATGATGAGTTCAGTTCAAAACTACTTAATGCACCTACACCAGTATCCTAAGAAAAATAGGGTTTAATCTGTCACATCAAAATTAGAAAAAGCTATAGAGCAGTCTTGATAACTATCTTCCTGCTTATTATAGAGGTCACAAGCAGCAGTAGGGATATTTTGATGCATTCTGTATATCTTGTTGGCACCATAGTTGATTCTATTTGATTAGAGAATTTAATTCCTCTTAGAACATCTCATTCTAATGTAGGATTATGCCTGACAGACCAAGAAGGAAGGGAAAGTGGCAGGTGTTATTAAAATCATCTTGCATTTGGACGCCTGACAGAAGTACCATATTAATAATATAGTGATATTTCCGATGATGGGAGAACATTTAATGCTTTTGTATACAGAGAAAGGTGAGAATATATCACAGAAATGCATTTCTCTCTTCTATGCACGTTTAATCAAATGCCTTTCTTTTTGTTAGTCTGTAACAGAAACTCTTTTGAAATACCATTATTCAAAATAATGCAACACTGCTATTTCTAAACAACTGAAAATTTCAGCTTAAGAATTAGATATACACCAAAACTGTCCTGGTGAAAGAGATAGCCAAGAGAGAGAAAGCAAAGACCTCAATTACTTTTGTTGCTGAGGAAACAGAAGTGCCAAGAAAAAACATGAGTAAGGCATGTGGTTGTTTGCAAAGGACAGAAGGTATATATGTATCAACATCTCAAAAGACATTTTTTATGGATGTTCAACAGAGCATCCCATGAAAACCAGAAATAGATACGCAACAATAGTTTAAGAGAAACAGTCAAGCATAGTGTATGCTCTTATGTCAAGAAAAGATCATGTTACTTTGTAGGATGTTCAGGACTCTGGTAAGATGATCCAGAAATATAAAATTAGGCTAGGGCTCAGTAGCATTTGGGGTAAATAATTGATAACAGCAATCTAGGAAGCAATGGTGTTTAACAAAGGAAGGCTCTTGGGTGAAAAGAAACCATTTTCTCAGCAACTTTTATTGACATATTGTACTTGACCCCCCAGTTGTAGGTTTGGGTGAGTGTCGTTACCCCCTGCTTAGCTTAACTGCATGCATCCTCATTAATGAACCTTTCTCATAACATGCTACAGAGATTGATAGTTCTCTGTAGTTTATTAAGCTTCTTTTCCTGTATTGGGCACAAAGTATTTTCAGGTTTGGATTCCTCTTCCCATCCTTTTAACACAGCATAGAGATGACCATTTTCAAAGGACACTTTGGCCTCATCCCCAGCCTGCCAGAGAAGCAGATTAAATTTATGTTTAGCTGTTCCAGTTTTAAAGTGATGTTTTCCTTGGGAACACAATTTTGAGTAAGGACACCATCTTCAATTCTTCACTGGCAATGTAGTTGATGATATTGGTCAGGAACTGGGATCTACTCAGCTTCCAATAGATACTAGACACCTCGGTAGATCCTCCATACTATCCTCCATATTTTAATTTAGAGCAGGGGTGTCAAACTCAAAGCCCACAGGCTGGATCTGGCCCGCAGGGTGCTTAGATCTGGCCTGCAGGGCAGCCCTGAAAACAGCGGACCGGCCCATGGTCCCTCTGCCAGTGAAAATGGAGCTCGGCAGCCTGTTTTCACTGGCAAGGCACTCGGGCCACCACAGGCACCCCTGACACAATTGACCTCAAGCTGACCATGCCCTCCCTGCCCCCCCAAGGTCAAACACAACTCTGATGATGCCCTCAATGAAATCGAGTTTGACACCCCTGATTTAGAGTATAGGATCCTGAACAATTAATTTTCATAAACGCTTTTAAACGAACTTTTTCATGGACAAGCACTGCTTTGAAAGAGTGCTAAGTAAGTTTTCTTAAACATGGCTTTCAAGTTTAGAGCACAAGGCCTGGCACAAGGCTCCATCAGCGTACTCCCACCCACTTCAGCGTCTGCCCCTCAGCAAGCAACTGCCCTATCAGATAGGTTGATTTTTTAGGCATGGGTTTGGCGTTCTTCCAGAAGATTACCAAACTGTTGTTTAAACTAACAGTCTTGATCTCTTTCAGAAGTGTTCAAGAACCATATTCATAAATAACCCAACTGACAGGCTGAGTAAAATACCTTTTTGTCAGTCAAACGCTGTGTCCCAGACAGCCATCTAACTGGTAACCCTTCAGCACACACAATTAGTGGTTGTTTTTGCCACTGACAGGTAATGACAGTGTCACTTTGCAATGAGATGGGTGGAAAACAAATTTAATAAAATAAATGAATAAAACATGAGGGAATCCACCAACTGCTGTCCTAAAACTGCCCATTAAATTTGTCTGAACATCATCATATGTCAGCCTTCTTGCTAAAGTACATTAAGTTTGGCCACAGGAGCAATGCAGTTTATGTCAACTAACTTTGTTGGGGGAAATATGCTGACTCTATAAACAGTTTAGAGAGTGCTGTAAAGCACTACCCTGTTTCCACAAAAATAAGACCTCCCCAGATTTATAATCAGGCTTTTGAGCACATGCAATGAAATAAGACCTCCCCCCAAAATAAGACCTCCCCGAAAATATTGCAACACAGCAGCAGCCATGAGGTGACCACGCTTGCCACCTCCTGCACCTCAAAAATAATAAGATCGCCCCAAAAATAAGGCCAAGTACTTATTTTGGGGGTCAAAAGAAAATAAGACCCTGTCTTATTTTGGGGAAAACACAGTATGAAGCAGTATATAAATCTAAGTGTTATTTCTATACTTTTCTGCTGACACAAGAAGTGGAAGAATGCATGTTAACATCACTCTGAGGAACAGCACTTAGATTTCATGTTCTAGCTGGAACTCATTATAAGTCTGTAAATAACATAAATTAATTTGGAGGTGATTGTGTTGCAAAAGGAAACGTAGAATGCTTGAAAATATTTGATGGGACCCATCAGTGCTATTACTGTTGACTTACTTTTCTTTAGCTTGTAAATCATTTCTTTGACCTCACAAATTATAAAGTGATATCACTGCCTTTTTGGTCATAAGTGATACCAAGTGTTATTTTGGTATTTCACATGTAAAAAAAAAGGCAAGCAAAAAACCTTCTTTATATATTAAAAAATATTATATACAGTTCCTTAGAACTGTAGCTATTTAATTTGAATGGCTTGTGAACATAGAGAGTAGGTACCACATAGAATTTATGATATTTCAATTACTGGATATTCATCATTATCATAAAAATGATGCATTTAGCCTTTTCCTGAAATTAGGCATTCTCTTCTATAGTGAAAATGTATAGGGCTAATGCTTTTTCTTATTAATAGAGCAAAATATTGAGTACTGGTGAAATGGCCCAGTAAATGTTTTAAAAATAACATCATTATGAAAGGTGATAGAACATGCCTGTTGCACATATTGTTTTCTCTCCCTCTAATTCATTCAGGCAAGAATTCTGCAGCTTCTTTCTCTAATGTCACATTTTACAGAATCTGTGCAAAGTCCCAAAGAATATAAGGTCTGGATACTGTTTGTTATTACTATAAAACCAGGCTATTTTTTTTCCTTTACTATCATCTAAAAAGTAGCCACTGGTCTCTTTGCAAACATTTCCAATAATACTTACAGCTAGTTTTTCTCCATCTCAAAGAAAGTCTTTCGCTCCACCAGTAGCCACCACTCAGAGACAACACAATGTTTACTGTTTTCCCCATGGCGTTTGTTCTTGCCAGAGAAACTGGCACATATACCCGGAGGTCTGGACAGAAATTTGGCTAATCTGGAAGATAAAAGCAGAGCAAAAAATCATATGATTATCAGGTATCTGGGAGAGAACCTATTGATGGAATCTGACATTCAAAGTGAGGACTTTTTTAGTGGTACCCGCAGAACATTAGCAGATCAGGAGACATCAGTAGAGATCTCTTGACTCCAAGCCAAAGTGCTCAGATGGGTCCCCAGTGATGAGAATGCTCAGGCATTAATACTTCCCCAGGCTATGGCAACAGAGAGCGCTAGAAGGAAAAAAAAGAAGGAAGTTTGTCCATTTGCTTCTTCCCTACTGGCATCACAGCCACAGATCGGGCTTAAGAGAAGACAAAGAGAATGAGCCACATAAAACCCTGTAGAAGCCCCTAGGACTGCAATGAGCACCACATCCACTCCAAGGCCCAGTCTCCTTACAGGTGATGTGATGCTTGTATCCAAGTGGAGGCTGGAGGAAGTGGTATTGCTATCCCTACAACCCTAAGGCAATGAATAACTCAGGGGTGGGGGAAGCCGTTTGTCTTTTACTTGCTCCCTCCTTCTTTCTGCACGTTTCCTAGTGACCAAATGTGTTGAAGATATGGACCAAGGGATGAAGCATGGGGGGTGGGGGAGCCCAAGACTATGGGTTGCAAGGCAGCCATGTGCTCTATTCTTTAGGTTTAAATCCTTGGGCCAATGGTAGAAAGTGCCTTCTAAATGATGCTGGAGTATTTATTGAATGCCGGCTTTGGACAGCAATTATAAGCAAATTATAAGAAAATCATTACCCAGCCAAAGAACGAAGCACCATTTTGAAGGTACTCCTCCATTGCCGCTGAAGAAGGAAAGCAAGCTAAGGTGAAGAATGAAAGGGAGAATATGCTTATTTATTTATTATTTATTTATGTGCTTTCTAAAAAAAACAGAAAAAAAAGAAAAGAAGCAAAGCACAAACACAATTATAATACATACAAAACTATGTATATACTGTTTAAAAACATGAAAAAATACAAGAGAAGAAAAAGGGAAAGAAACAAAGTAGAATAAATATTATACAGTTATAATTCTACTAGCTGAATACCCGTGCTTCGTGACGTATCTATGTGATTTGGCTATGCAGAAGAAATTCAGTTCACAATTGTTGGCTTAGTGATGGTCGGTGATTGAAACACATAAGCTCCCACCATCTTGAGTCCGGAAGCAGTTCCATAGGTGGAAGGCGTAGACATTTTGGTGTGGTACCGACGTTTAGTACTGTAAAGAGCCCTAGACCGCTCCTGAGTAAAGGAGTGGAATGTCTGCCAGTTTGAACTGAGGTAACGGAATGTGAGGCAACTGGTAGATGGAACAGAGATCTTTTCAGGTAGGGGAGGGGGAGTAGAATGTCTAACTCCTTAGCATCAGAGTGTGTTAATATAAGGCAACTGGCAGTTTGAACAGAGTTCTTTTCAGGTGGGGATGGGGAGTAGAACTCCTTAGCATCACAGCATGTTAATTACTGTATAAGAAATACTAATGATCTCATGGTCATTTTGAAAAATTCTTTCTTAACTAGCACCTAGAAGCCAAGAGGGACATATCTGCCAAATTTCAAGTTTGTAGGATTTATGATTCTGGAGATTTTATGATGAGTGAGTGGTACTTGGCTTTTATCAAATGTAAATATTATTCAAGTAATCTATATTCACTTTTAATACATTTATATAACTATCAGTCTTTTTTAACCTACTGTAATTTGTAAAAATGAGTTCCCTATTTCATTATATTGTCCATACAAAATCTGTGTCTATAGGCAATCCACTCATAGATGGCAAGTGTAATTCTTCAGTCCACTGAGTAAAGGGGGCTATATATTTATCTTTCCAATGTTGCAGAATCAGTCTTTCAGCCATAGTAAAGGCACAGAAAATCATTTTACATTGCCCAGTTGTCAAATTCCATGTATTAGGTATTCAGTTCAAGAGAATATTATCCTCTCAAAATTTTAGCTTTTGTCGCACATTCACATTAAGTACAGGAGGATATATTTAAACAACAAACAGGATTAGTGAATTTTACTGCCCAAGGTATTTTCTGCTTTAAAAATGACTACATAATACAGTGAGGTATTACGGGGAGTTTGTAAGCGTGGTCAAGTGTACGACCTACCCACCAAATGTTTTTAAACAATTTAATACAAGATTTGTGAATGAAAATGGTTGGAAAAGTTTAGACCTCCATTTTGGTTATCAGGCATCTAGTATACATTTATTAAACCATCACATTTTATACCAAAAGTGCAACTTCAATAAATTTGAAGAAAGTGCTCTTACATTTGTCAACTCACCATTCTATAACACTGTCCTTGGGACAAATATGCAATCCTGAGGAAAAATTCTGTAGGTTACAGGCACCAAAATGGAACCAAAATGACTTTATTGGGAGGAAGAAATTGATCGCACAGAAAGATCTGAAGTAGCTTTTGTCCACTATTCTGGTATTAACTGAAGAACTTTTGACAGTTATCTGTTCGCACAGTGGGAAGCGGTAAAAATTAGTTTAGGAGACATGGGAATTTCCCTGCTATGCCTACTGTATGTTCAGACCAAGGTTGATCCTTTGCATGGTTATGTTTACTGTATTCCAATGAGCCTTTTAACCAGCCTGAAAGCAAAACCTTCAACTGTGACCTTCTTGGCTTCCTAAATCTGCAACTACTGATTGGATCAGAGGAAAGCATTCTGTTGTTTATGGTCTTAGATGTCTCTCCAGGGTTAGTTCACACTGACTATGCCAAACATGTGCTGTGTGTGCGGGAGGACTCACATTCAACCCGGTTTCTTGGTGGGGGTTGAGAAAGGCTTATCTTACGTGCATAAACTACATTGAGTTTGATAGACCCATGATCAGCTCTTTCAGTATTTCATAGCCAAAAATATTGAGTGAGGACTTGCTGGGATTATTGCAGAACGTTCACGTCACTGCAAATGCTCTTCAAAATATTTAGTTGCCATCAGCATACGGTCATCAAGTAGAAAAGAGGGGGAAGCCAAGAATGCATCTGATGTGTAAAGCCGGTGCAAGGTTTATGGAGATAACGCTTCATAAATTCCCAGTGTTCATAAAAAGTTCAAAGACTAAAGCCCTAATGAGATCCCAATCTGTCACCTAACATAGGAACTCCTCTAGGCTCAGCTTGTGGGGTTGCTGTATATACACTGTTTGACTTGCTGAAATCAGTGCTCTGCAGTCGGTGGGGGGGAAGGGAAGCAAATAAATAAAATTAGTGTGGCTATGGGCGCCTTTGCACTGACAAATTTCCCTTCTCCCCCCTCCCTCTCTCTCTCTCCCTCCATGACAAGGAGATGTAATCCCTGCATCTGAGATGCTGGGGGGGGAGGGGAGGAGAGAGGCGGATGGAGGGGGAAGAGAGAGGGAAGGAATTTGTGTAGAAATCCTAATAATGCAGCAGCTGAAGAGCAAAATAATGAAAGGAGGTTGAGGGGGTGGTAGGATTTAATTACATTTTGATCCAAAGGAGATGTGTGGGGAGAACATAAGTCTCCGTGTGCCCTAAGGAGAAGCCCCCCCACCCTTTGATGGTCATCGTTTTTGGTCCTCTGATGCTTGTGTGAGGCATCACCACAACAGGTCCTCCCCTGCCCTTCAGGTACCAAAAGCGAGAGAAAGAAAGCACCTTCTATCTACATTTCCTGCTGCTCCTCTAGGTTCACCCAGGGGGCAGTTTGGCAAGGCAGAGTTGGCTCTTAATGGGCAATAATTCCCAATCAAAAAGGATCACACACACATCACCCTTTCTCCTTTCTTCCTCTAACGAATCAGAACAGAAAATATCCTCCTGTGGGTCTTACTTTTTTTTTTCCAATTTGTGGAATATGCCTACAAGCTGGATCCACAGCTCTCCCTTCCCCTCCTCCTTCCCTCCCTCCCTCCTTCCTCTCATTTGTTTATTTTGATGGGCAATCAAATCCTCCCAAACCCCCCACGGCAGGGAGAGCGTTTGGTTCGCGATCTCTGGAAACTGTTGGAGGGGGGGGGGGAAGGATGATCCGACTCAAGAGCACTGAGTGGGGGAGCCGTTTAAGAACATTTACAAAGAGGGAAGGTTGTTTTTACCCTGCCCGTCCGTCCATCCCCCTCCCCGTCTTAATACAGCACATGCCTGTGCACACACAAAGACACACAGATCTACGCCACCTTCTGCAAAAAATGGAATAAAATCGAGTTGGCATCTGTCCTTGGACTTCTTTCCAAAGGCAAAGCTTGAACTTCTGCCGCGGCTCAGGCACCTGAGTCCGAAGCTCCGAAAAGCCCCTCCCTCCCCCCCCCAAAAAAGCCCTTCAGGCTTCCTCTTTCTATTTTCGTCAAGCCCAAACAGGAGTGCTTACCTGGGCTCTGGCCAATTTCCACCTTACTTCCTCTCCTCTTCTCTGCCTCGTTCTCTCCCCCGGGCAAACAGACTCCTAAGAATCTGTGTCCTATTTAACTCTCCTACCCCACAGGAAGCAGAAGAGGAGTTAAGCTGCCAGCCACAGAGACTTAGGCAGCTGCTCTGAATGGCTGGGCAAAGGAGTTGAGAGTTGTGGAATGAGCCCGTCTGTTCCCCCCCCTACCCCCCCCAAGAGGTATTAGGAAATGCCTGCCCCTCGCTTTGCCTCTTTTATTACCCCCCCCCCCCAAAAAAAAACTCTCAGCCAGACGTTGACTAAGCTATAAATATTACAACCGGCTTTGAAGCCACTGGCACCACACCGGTGCAGCTGGGCTGAAGAAGCACATTGGCTTTTGAAAGGGATGCTCTGAGTTACCCCTCTTCTTGACATCCGTTCTCACGGTAAAGCAGATCTCGGTTTCTTGGCACGGGAAGGCTTACAAGAAATCCTGCCCCTATTGAGATGATTCCCACATTTTAGGTTGCTCGCTTGACGATGACACCATCGTACGGATTTTCCCTCTTGCCGCTCTGCAACAGCTGCTTTGCTATTCCCTCACCTCCCACTGAAGGCTAACATTTCTCAACAGAGCCAGTTTCTCACATTCATCTTTTCGTCGCTGAAGCCTATCTAGATGGCCTGCAGGAATGGAAGGAAAGACACGGTGCATCTTTTCTAGAGCACTTCTGAATCCTGACAGGGCAGTAACAGTAATGTAGAATCCAAGGTTTGGGAGGGACCTCAGAGGTCTTCTAGTCCAACCTCCTGCTTGGACTCAAGCAGGAGATCCTTATGCCAAGGGTGCCCAAACTTGGCAACTTTAAGACTTGTGGACTTCAACTCCCAGCTCTGCTGGCTGGAGAATTCTGGGAGTTGAAGTCCACAAGTCTTAAAGTTGCCAAGTTTGGGAACCACTGCCCTATTCCATCACAAAGGTTTGCCTCTCAAGCCTTTGATCTGCTTCTTCCAATCGCAGCTTGCACGCGGCTTCCTTTTTTGCAAGTAAAATAATCATGACACATGCAATCAAAGCAGGGGTGTCCTTCGCCCACAAGCGACATAATACAAGGCTAGATTTTGGTTTCTCCTTGCTTCCATAAAGTTTTAGCATAACACCACATAGCTCATCCTTCGCATTCAATCCCAGAAGCTGTTTCCAGTGTGAAGAAATCATAAACAGACTTTTTGTGACTAGGTGAGCACATTATTTTGTATTAGCACCATATATCCCCCCTCCCTCTCTCCCTCTCTCTCTCTCTCTCACACACACACTCACACTTCAACATATTCCTGAGCTGGTAGCAGGGTTGGCAGAATAGTGATTATTTCGCCTGTTAAGGCCAACCGTCTACTCATCACCTGCATTGTCCTCCTAACAGAGAGCTTACGTCAATGGCAGAGGTCTTTCTCTATATTCCCCACCACCTGGGATAGATCAAGGAGTTAAGTGGCATTTCAGTCACCTCCACCAAAGCTATGCAACTGCTGTTTTGAGAAGTGTGTATCTGGCCTCCTTCTCCACGACTTTCTGCTCTGCGGTTAAGATATACTTTTCATAAAGCATTTGACAGGAGCTTGATAGGATGATGAATCGTTTCACCGAATTGATTTTATTACCGATACTTTTTGCACCAGATATGTTATTTTGTTGTGATATTTTTCTGGATTGTGTTAGGTCTCATGGCATATTTTAGAAATCAGAAAGTGGGATATTAACAATAGTAGGAGGAGCTGCAGGAATAAACTTCTCACCGAAATG